AAGTGAGAAGGAATCATATTGCCAGCAGAGATGTAAAATCAGGTCGGGACTGTCGCTGGTTATTTAAAGGTATTGCAATGCTTTTTGTAAGACTGAACATATTACATGCTGTAGCTTGGCTAAATTCCATCTTTTATAATTACATCCTCTTCTGCCCTCCTCAAACATTTCTTGCTGTCACAAGAGGATGCAGCATTCTTCTTTCTCCTGGTCTAGATGTCTGGGTAGCGGTGTTTCAGTCTCACCGGGATCTCTCTGAAAGACAGATTCAAGTTGCCCAAGATGCGGCGTGATCTCTGCGTCACTCCCTTTAGCATTGCTGTGGATGGAGAGAAAGAGGGTTTTGAAATTAATACTCGGGCAGAGGTTCCGTTTTTCTCCCTGCTTAAGTACCAGCACAAATCTCTTGGTTTGGCTTCCTCCACTGTTACTCTTTTGTTACAGTATAATCACTCCCTGAAGCAGTGGAAGGCTTCATACTTTAACTCTAGAAAATATTTTGTGATAATTTTAGTCAAAATGCAAATCACCAGTATCCCGTTAGTACCGGGAATGCTTTCAGAGCATTGACCAGCTTGCACTTCCAGCTTGATGAGCTGGTGATTGTAGCCCTTAGACGGCATTTTAACAAGCAGAATCCAGGAGGGGTTGTTACTACATTAGCTGCTCGCTGAACCACTGAGATTGTACTGAAAGCAAACAAGGGGTGTGTGACTATAAACAAAAAAAACCCACAGCCACCTGATAACTATTTTAATATTGCTTTCTCTGCTGGTACAATGTTCGCTGGTGGAGAAGTGCCCACGAGCCTGTTACTTGGAAACAGAGGCAGATGCTCCGCTAGAGCAATGGTCTGGTCTTTGCAGTCTAGTAGCCACCTGTGAGCGACAGTGGATGTTTGAGAGCAGAGCCTGGTAAAGATGTCCATGAGTACATCTGGCCAAATGCACAGTGTCAAAAGCAAAATTCCCATCACAAGTAGCACTAGAGGGGTGTCCTATTGCCGGTTTCCACAAAGACAAAATTGAATTGACTAAGAAATGAAGCTACTGTTTCTCACCTGGAACACTCTCAAATTGGACTGAGGGACTTGAGGACAGGTTGATCAAGTTTCGCTGCAAGTGCCAGAACTACAGTCTTTTTTCTGTGGCTAATAGTTTTCTGTGGCGTTCAGTCTGCATCCTCTTGGAAGCTGGGCTCTCAGTAGACTTAATTCCTCTTTCCTTCGAGTGCTCTGCTTTGTTGACAACTAGCCTGATCCTCACTGCTTCGCACATTTGTAGAGAGAGATACATAGTGGTTTAAACCAGTGGCATTTATTAATAGTATTGTCTCTATATGTTCCCTTATACCCTCTTTGCTCAGGAGTATGAGATGGTTTATGCACCAGGCAGTGAATAACGACACCTATAGCTCTCTCTCCTTTTTACTACTACTTTTTTTTTTCTCTAGTAGATACACGGGGGTCTAAAAGGGAAGAACATCTTTGATAACTACTGATTTCATATCTTTCCTTTAGTGAAATCCAGCTCTATTCATGTACCTTTTTTTTGCAGAAAGGTGTTCAAATATTTCAGTGGAACATCTCTACTGGAAAAAGAAGGCAAAAGAACACAGAATGAGACAAAACTCCTACATCAGCTTAATCTTACCACTGTGGAGCTCTACAGCAGGTAGGACTTGGCAGTACAACAGTGTGTATATATTCCTGGTGTCAGGAGCCTCTAAGATGATCTTATTGTGCCAGCTGCAGCCAGAGCTCAAGAACTGCTGGAGCCCTGATGTAGAGTAGAGGAGTAGTTCTGCATCATACTGTCACCTTTGTGTGCGGCCAGAGAGCTGGAGGGAGAGAGGATGGACAAGACACAGCACCCATGCAGTCAGCCTTGACCACCCAGCAGGTGAATGCTTGACGGCAACTTCAGGCAACATTCAAGCAGTGTTACATGGTGCAACAGCTTCAGCTGGGGGCTGAGAATCGGCTCTCATGTTTTATTCATCCAAATTGCCTTTCCCCACTTCAGAAATCTACACTCATCTCTTCACTAGAGAATCTGTTCAATTTCCTCTTGTTTAGCACTGTGCTGTGGTGCTCACATTTCCGTTGAGTACTTTCACTGAGAGACTGATCGGCAGTAATCACAAGTCCAACTTCTCAGGAGTGAAGCATGGGAGAGAGAGGGAGATGTAGGCTCATCTAATTTGATCAGCTTGTTTTGTTATACTGAATATTTGATTTTCAAAAACCAGCTCCTGTGGAAGGAAATAAAAATATAAGAAATCCAGCTTCTATTCCTTTTTAGCTTTTTTGGTAAGATTTTAGATTTGACTCATCTTTCCCAGGCTAATTGTCAAGAAACTGACAGATCAGGCATGGTTGACAAGTGAGTAATTTGGAGAAGAGAGGGAGTGCAGCAGGTGTCAGTACTAATTTGGTAAAACAACAAAAAAAAAATAGTAGAGAGTGGTGTGATAGTCGTTTACACAGTCATGACGTTACAAGCTTTTCATACAAAACGTGTGCAAGATTTTACAACACTTAGAGCATTAACTATTAACCAGCCACTCCAGGTCCACTTCAAAGGAGGACCTGTAAGTTCACTGGAAGAAGGTATTTTTGAGCCTCTTAACAGGGAAGGCTGGTTCACAACGCTGCTGGGGAACTGGAGAAAAATTAGTTTCATGATTCTCACCTGTTGCATTGCTGGGCACACAGAACAGTCCTTGCAGGGGGCAGACCCTGTGCCCTGGCCCTGACTTGGCTGGGCTAGGCTAGACCATCAGGGAAGGATACCTCTGCCAGAGCTGGAGCATTCAATCGCTGCTGCCCTGCCAAGATGTCCATTGCCCACAGCTGCCCTAATTCTCCCAAACTGTGATTCTGCCGAGTCCCCACACACTGCTGATTTTACACCGAAGCCCAAATCTCACTTGCTGAGCAGAAGAAATGAGCTTTGCACCTGGAGAATTCCTCCAGCTCTGAAGACAACAGTCTGACACTGCTTTATTTTAGAAACCAAACTCTTGGAAAGAACTTGTTTTACTTACCTGTCAAATCTGCCCCTCTGAGCTCCGTATTTGCTTGCTTCAATCTCAGTCATCACTGACACTGCCTCAACAGCAACCAGTGTTCTTGTTTTGATCTCTGTAATGGTGTTAGTGACTACAGGCCAAATAATAGGTTTTACTGACAGGCTCCTAAGACACACTTTTGCTCTGAAGTAGCTGTACAAATAGCATTGCAGCGTTTCATGTTTATTGTCTGCTAAAGATTTCAGTATCTTATATGCTCTATTTCAAAGAAATAAAGTTTTTTCCCCATCTAACTGCCAGTCCTGAAAATTCACTGGGGATTAAAGAAAAGCTGATTTTTTTTTTTCCTGGCTTCTGCATAGTTATTAAGAATACAGAGGCTGCAGGGCAATTTCTGCTCTGGCTTTCATCAGTATAACCCCTACTATCTTGAAAACTTGCCTTCACTTTCACACATGAATTATTTGAGATGGAGGGGGCCTGCAAGGCAGCTCTGAGTAGCAGTTGTGTTTCTAAGGGATGGGACTGGAAGGAAATCCGGTACTCTCCCCCAGAGCTACAAGGTACTGAAGCTCCTATCTGACTCAGACCTCAGCAAATCACCTCCAAACACCTGTACCTCCAGTATGGATCAACTAAGTGACAATTGTTTTATTCTCACTTTCTAGGATGTAAGTATTGCTTATTGGAAATGGTAGGGTGGCTTTTTTGTGTTTTCTTTGAGTGAAACAGGCATCTCCACCAGCCATATGGAGTGGGTCCCACTCTGCGAAACACGTAGCTGCTGGGAAGCGCATCCATTCAACCTTTCACAACACGGACCTTAATTCAGCAGGGAAGAGAGCTGACAGGCACCTTTGCAGCGGATTTAAATCAGAGGCAAAAACTCGAGCAGTGTAAAACTATCTGTGCCAGCCAGCAAAGTCATGCTGACCTTCTGCCAGTACTACTGCAGCCCCAAGCATGGCTTTGGGTGCTGCATCCTTGGGAATGACTGCATTAGGGGAAGCCAGCAGGGCCTTCCCAACTACTGCCTCTGCTGTGTTGCTGCCCGATGGAGTGTTATCACTATGACAACCTACAGGTATAGGATGTGCACAGTAGCGGGAGCTCCAGCTGACCGTGATTGCGTGTGCATGGCTCAGAGCAGGGCTTCCCTGCCTGGGAGGGGAGCAAAGAACACATGGATCCGCAGGTAACTCTCCCTTGACTCTGTCCTGTCACTTGCTGGCAAGTTTAGGATGTAAGGCAAGGTGGGAACTTTAGAGACATGGGCTAGCTAGGATTTTAAATAATTTTCTCTGGGATGAGGTAAGGGAAGACTCATTTTCCTCCTTTGTTTCTAGAGTCCTTCTTCAGCAAAAGGCTTACAAGAATATAAAGCTGCCCTTCAAACTCTTGCCTTTTCCATCCTGTTAAAAGGTAAAATGCTTCCAAACCTCATATACGCTGCCCGTCTCCCTGCGCGTGCATGCACGCGTTACTTTCTTACACTACGATGACAGCACATGCTTCTCCAAAGCTATTCACGGCATTAGAAATACAACTCCTCCCTCCAGCGCCCCGTGTGCGTGTGTGTGCGCGCGTGGCTCCGGCTTTCTGCTTCGGCTCACTCCTCCGATCGCATCGCGGGGCTGGCGGCCACGGCTCTGCTCCACACCTCCCGGCTTCACACGGAGGCGAGGAGGATCGCGGAAAACACAGAAGCAGGCACACAGCTGACCTACAGAGCCATCGATAACTTACTCCCCTCCCGGCAGAATTGCACAGGGGAGGGGAGGGAGGAAAGAGGAGGAGGAGGAAGAAAAAAAGAAAATCCAGAGAATTCTAGTCTTGCAAATGTAGTGAAACCAAGCGGTCAGAGTTCATTTGCTCTAGAAGAGCAGAGAAGAAAGAGGACGTTAAATGAAAAAAAGCAAGAAAGGTCTGTAGCTTTTTCCTGATAGTAGCAGTGCTTTAGAGGTAAAATGATTCCTCCGAGCAGCACGACTGAAGTCAGCGTGGATATTGTGGAGAAAGAGAATGAAGTGGAGAGCACAGAGCAGCCCCCCTCTCCAGCATCAACTACCAGCCAGGAATCAAAGGTACTCAGAGAATGAGATTTTTTTTTTTTTCCTCACTCTTTCTTTGTTTTGAAGAGAGATGCGTGGCTTTGATTTTTATTTGGAGCCCAGTGCCAGGATCAGCGGTAGCGTGCTGTGAGCCACCTCTGATTGAGGTGCCTACTCTGACACTCCTACTTCTGAATTCATTCCCTGTCACCTGGGCAGCTCAGGAGTCTGAACTGGGAAAATACCTGCCTTTTGAGATGTTTGGGTTTGGGTATTTTTGCTGGTGTTTGCTCCTCCTTATTACAGTAAGGGCCTGGGGGAGTGGTGGGGCTCGGGGAGAGGATCCATGCCAATAGATGTTGTAAGCTATTTTCACACTGGGCATCAGATCACTTAAAAGGTTTGATTCTTGGTTAGAAAGATTGGGGTTTTTTTCACAGGTTCGGGGAAGAGAATTTTGTAAGGGGGCTTGGGGTGTTTCACCTGCCTCACCTTCTCTAGCAGACCCATCAGTGAACTTTCACTGTTTAACGAGCCAGCAGCTGAAACAGGATGTGACAGATTTGGCACAATAATCTTTATGTACACCACCCAGACAAGGATTTTTTTTTTTTTCCACAGCCTTTTAATTTATTTATCATTTTTTAAATGTGGTTCAATTTATGGTACTGAAAACCAACTTCTAGCTCAAACAGCATGGCCTCTGAATTTTTAATTGACTTGCATATGAAAAGTTTTTCTGCCTGTCAGTGTGTTACTTGGAAGACAGAGAGGTAAAGGGAGAAAAGTAGTAACCTTACATAATGAATGTTCTTTGCAGCCTACGTGGATAATGTGCTTTTGCTGATCCTCTGTTACTTACTTATGATTGATACAATGATAGCACCTGACAGTCTTCCTATGAACTTCATAGTGATGCTAAGTGCAGTGTAAACATGTAAAAATAGGGCGGTCCTTGTCACTAGGATCTTACAGCTGGGTAGAGCCTTAGGAAATGCCGTGTGAGCAAAATAGCTGCTTGACAGGGAAGATTCGTGTTGGCCCGAGTTTAAAGGCAGTGGCTGCCTGGGTCTAACATAGGAAGACTGTTACATTATTCCACAGTTACAGCTAGGTTTCTGGAGAGTGAGTGAAAATTATCTGTCTGTGTGGGTGGAGTTCTGACGTGGGCTTTGGGATTTTTTTTTTTTATTTTTTATTCGACTCTATACTCCAAGGAGGAGAGCTGAGGCATTCCCTATGTAAAACAGCCTCTTTAAAAGAAAAGCTCTCCTAGCAGCAGTAGCATGCACTATTTTACTATTTACTATACACATTCAGCACTACTGGAACGCTGCTGCAGTCTTCCTGGTTAATGGCAAATGAAAAGTAAACGGGTTATTGGTTTAACCCCAGGCTCTAAAAGGATCCGGTTGATCGGTACCTAAATCTGCCCCTGAGACCACTTCTCTGGAATTGCTGAATAGTTATTTGGCCAGTGGGAAGCTCAGCTCCCCAGTGAGGTCCCAAAAGTAACTGGAGCCTTCACTGCACTGCCAGCACCAACTCCTCATGTGTACTGGGCTGTGCACAGGGCCTGGTGGTCTGTGCGTTCCCTGTGCTCCCAGCTATGGTCCTCGCTCAGTGCCAGGCACAGTAGTTATGGAGGTGCTACTCACGTGGTCAGACACTTCATTACAGCGATGCTTGAGGGATTTTCCCACTGGGTCACAGAGCGCTGTGCCCAAGATGAGCTGACCAGCATGAATCCTAAACTGAGAGAAAGTGAAGTGCTACATGTGGAGTTCCTTCTTGTTTGTGCATCCATGCGTTTTCAAGGATGACAACAGGAATCTGTCTAGAGAACAAATAGGCTACAAACTGGTTTATAATCAAACATTGTTATCGTCAGTTTTTCCACTCTTGTGAGCATTTGAAGCCATACACTGGAATAGACATAAGCTGTGACTGTGCAGTTGATGCCATTAGATGCATATAGATGTTTTTAGTAAACATATAATCTGCATATTTACATTTTAGAACTGCAAATGTGATCAGAAAGCATGCTGTATTGTCATTTCAATAGATGGAGTCAAAAGAACCTTCTGATCACTGGGGTAATGGGATAAGCTTTCTTTTTTTGGTCCTAGTAAGTAGCAGAATGAAAAAATTCTCAATAATTTCATAAAGATGGTCTTTGTGCTTGGTGGTGGTTTTTTTTCCTAAGAGAACTGATGTACTTCAAAAGCTAAAGACTTTGACAAAGGCAAAAGTCAGTGTGTGCCAAAAGCCTGTGCACAAGATTTTATCCCACCGTGCCCCTTGCCGAGGGAGCTATCCTGTCATTTATGGAGGGCTAAGCTTGCTTCAGGTACTCTCTGTTGCATAGGTTAACAAGTTTATGTCTGCTGCAGTTACTGTAGAACAGTTTGTGCAGTATCTAATTACCCCACAATGACTTGTTTCTGTGGCAAAACACTGTTATGACTCCAAATATAGGAACAGAAACAACATGGATAATAGCAACCTTCAAAATGCATTTGAAAACATTTCAGCAGAAAAACAATTTTGAAAAACTAATGTAGAACTAACGTAACAAGCTTGCTTCCAGTCCTGTATAATCCTAGGCAACTGTGGCACATAGTCCCTTGTAGTACCAAAGTGCAGAAAAAAGAGTTTTACCTAGCCCACTCCAGACTGTATTCAGAGGAGATACTGCAATTCCTGACTAGCGTGAGCTTGGGAGCCAGAACCTCAGGCTGCTACCAAGTAGCTGAAATTTGGAAGAATGACTCTTGTGTTAGTCACACACCACTGTCACAGGAAAGCAGCTCACTCTTTAATAAATGCTAAAGCCTCCCACCACCTTTTCCTATGGATTAGCAGCATGTTTACAGGTGAGCACACCCGGATGCTGAAAGCTGAAAGACCAGACTCTCATGCCTGTCCTAATGCATCGTGAGTGCCTTAACACCTGGACTTCAGTACAAGCGCCCAGAAAGGGGAAATCCAAATACACTTTCAATTCATCACATTTCCTAGGCCCTAAGAGCAAACCCGTTAACGTGTTCTGAGTACTTTTGCCTTATGGCATAGTATGTATATTGCTATATAATGTGATTGCATCTTTTGGATTATGCGTCCTCAAGTGTTTCACACATAGCACCTCCAGTGTACTGTCTCATTAATATAACTTCAAATAGGTGTCTGAAGAGTAGCAAACACTCTGTAATTGAGCCATACTGTAGCACTATATATACTACTACTGTGCTAAAAGCCCTAGAGCTTGAGTGGTTAAGAATGCTGCAAAGCTATTAATGAATTTATTAAATTAATTTATTGCCTCTTGAAAACGTTTACTTCACACCTAAGTATGACTTGAGTGGATACTTAAAGTTTACTGGGAGCATAACTTTATGAGAGTACCATACAAATACATGTAATTGATAATTCTGTTGTGTTCATAAGTTTGTAGTTAAGGCTCCCACCTGTTTGGATCCTTCACATCTAGTTTTGAAGAAGGAAAATGACCAGTTTGCCAAAGACTTTTCTAGATCTACGACTCAGGAGGGAGGAAGTCATTAGCTAATGAATCTTAAGGGAAAATTTCCTCCTGTTGGTAGCAATTAAAGACACACTGCACACTTGTGCAATCACTACCTGAGTAATATAAGCAGAAATCTAGTGAGAGCAATCAGAGATCATACTTCTGATGTCTCTTACTTACATAAAAGTACCTTGGAATTTAATAAAGAAAACTAAAATTTGAAGGAATATGTGTCTAAATAAAAGATTCCTACACCTGGCAATATTTGTTTATGTTTTGGCATAGTTGGCACATAACTCTGTTAGCTTTCTCCTTCTTATATTTAATTGACGTTCCTATATGAAGAGAAAAAAAGCCCATCTTATGATTTCTGTAGGTGTGAGTCAAGTCATCACTATACTGTGAATAATGGCTGAGGGCATTCATAGACAGTAGAGTATATCTTAGAAAATTCCCTTACCATTTTTACGTTTTAGGGGGGCCTGAATATCTGTGTTGTTTGAGCTAGTACCAGCAGGGTTGGTCAGCACTGCTGATCTTCAAGCTATTAGTGTTTCATTTCAAGTGCTTTAAACATCTTTCAGGCTCTCCCATACACCCCAGAAGAGGTATCAAGCTCTGCCTCTGTCATTGCAGGCAATCTGTCGTGTAGAAGTTACTTATTTGTAGATATCAGTGGATATCTGTGAAGACTAACTGCTTTTTTTCACAGCTTTGCCCATTTCCTTCTACTTTTTACTAAGTCCAGCTATAATTGTGATGTACTCCAGTCATGCATCTCTGGTGTGATAGCTTTAAAATTTTCCTCTGAACCACAAATTCCTGGGCTTAACAAATTGCTTACACTCAGTTCAGTTAGGTAAGTTGAATGACTGAAAATTGGAGGGGGGAAAAAAGAAAAGATAAACTAGACCACCAAATAAATATGGCATCTGGAGTACATGCTTCACAAAATAAATGGGTCTGTCTCAGTCTGATGCTTCCATACACTGACTATCCAGTGGCCAGTACTCAGGGAAATGCAAACCATTATCTTCAAACTCAGGTATGGAAATTCAGGAGATCTAGCACAATTGTTCAAACACTAGCTAACATGCTATGTAGTACATAAAATGGAAGTTGCTGAAAAGTAGCAAGCCAAGAAAAAAGATTAAGCATTGAAGTTCAAGACTTCACTTATGTATATCCCCCACATCGGTGAAGAAGATTGAACTTACTTTCCCCTGTCCTGCCTGTCCAATAGAGTACTATTGCTTACGTGAGGTTTCAAAACCAGGTGTTAATATTAGATACTGAATTAAGGTAAACAGCTTGAAACTCCTTGGATTTAATAGGATTGTGTGGGATTTAAATCATGCAGGATTTGTGCTGTGCTGTTAAGCAGAGATCTTCCCCGCTTAAAGAGTTAATACTTTATGAGGCTCTATCGATGGTTACTCATCAATTAATATTTTAAAAGGGCAGGGAGTATGGTGTACAGCTTGTATTTCACCCTCCACACCAGATA